AATTAATTGGCCATTTCAACGACCCCCTCCTAGTTTTTAGGTCACCTGAGTAACTCAGGTGACCTATTGCTATCCGTTTTCGTCCGTCGTCGTGCGTCGTGTGTTAACATTTGAACATTTTCAGCTTCTTCTCTGAAACCACTGAACCAATTTCAACCAAATTTGATATACAGCATTTATGGGTAAAGGGGAACAAAAATTGTGAATTTTATGGTCCCCGCCCCCCTGGGGCCTGAGGGGTGGGGCCAAAACCACTAAAATTATTGCAATCTTTAAAAATCTTCTTTACTCATGGACATCAAGCAGGCAAACTGTTGGCATGAATGTAATGAGCATTGAGTCCTCTACCAAAATTGTGAAATTCATGGCCCCAGGGTCAGGGGTTCTAGTGCTAGGGCGGGGCTCTATAGATTATATAATGAGGATACATGAATTCTTTGAAAATCTTCTTCTCTGCTCCTGGGTATTAAATATACTAACTAAGCACATAGTTATGATGAGCAAAAGTGCCTCTTCCAGATTTGTGAATTTTATGGCCCCAGAGTCAGGGGTTCTGGTGTTAGGGCGGGGCCCTATAGATTATATAGTGAAAATGCATTATTTCTTTGAAAATCTTCTTCTCTGCTCCTGGGTATTAAATAAACTAACTAAGTACATAGTAATGATGAGCAAGAGTGCCTCCTACAAAATTGTGAATTTTATGGCCCCAGGGTCAGGGGTTCTGGTGTTAAGGCGGGGCTCTATTGTTTATATAGTGAAAATGCATTTATTCTTTGAAAATCTTCTTCTCTGCTTCTGGGTATTAATTAAACTAACTAAGCACGTAGTTATGATGAGCAAGAGTGCCTGTTCCAAAAATTGTGAATTTTAGGGCCCCAGGGTCAGGGGTTCTGGTGTTAGGGCAGGGCTATATTGATTATGTAGTAAAAATGCATTTATTCTTTGAAAATCTTCTTCTCTGCTTCTTTGTGTTAAATAAACTAACTAAGTACATAGTTATGATAAGCAAGAGTGCCTCCTACAAAATTTTGAATTTTAAGGCCCCAGGGTCAGGGGTTCTGGTGTTAGGACGGGGCTCTATTGATTATATAGTGAAAATGCATTAATTCTTTGAAAATCTTCTTCTCTGCTTCTGTGTATTAAATAAACTAACTAAGTACATAGTTATGATGAGCAAGAGTGCCTCTTCCAAAATTGTGAATTTTATGGCCCCAGGGTTAGGGGTTCTGGTGTTAGGGCGGGGCTCTATTGATTATATAGTAAAAATACATTAATTCTTTTAAAATATTTTCCTTTGCTTCTGGGTTTTATGCCAATGATCCAAGTATATATATATTTATAATGAAGAAAGGTGCATCTATCATAGTGGTTTTTTTTTATGCCCCCAGGGTCAGAGGGAGAGGGGGGGGGGGGGGGGGGTTACATAGTCTGAAAATAAATTAATGCTTTGAAATCTGCTCTTTGGTATTAATCAACCATTTTATGATAAAATTTGCAAAATTTTGAAATGCATGTATGTGGCCCATTGGTCAGTGGTTCCTTTAGGGCGAGGTGCACAACTGGGTATAAAGTGGAAGTTCATTTTCTCTTTGTTACTCTGATCTACCTCTAGGTATTAAGTAAATTGAGTAAGCATGCAAAGTTAATAATTATGATAAGCAATGGTGCCTCTTCAAAATTAGGCCCTGTCACACCAAGCTGCGTTCACACGGAGTCATTGAGGCGTTGTTAAATTTTTAAAATCGCCGTGGAATCGCAGGAAAATTGCACAAATTTCTGTAAAATTTTCACAATATGAAGATGTCACGGCGTCCCTACGGCGACGGATGCGATTCTACGGCGATCTCACGGCGTTCTACTGCGTTCCCTCGGAGATCTCTCGGCGATTGACTGCGCTTCCGCGGAGTTTTCACGGCGCATTAGGAGTTTTCACCTCGTGTTCACGTCGTTCTAACTGCGCTGGCTGCGTTTACAATACGTTCACAATGCGTTCTATACTCATTGATATATATTCAGACGGAATGTAAAACATTTTTGTTTAAAAATTCAAGTTACACGATGAAAAGACTTCTAATCATGCCAAGAAATATTCTTCATAATTAAAAATGCTTTATTTAAATCATTTAGTACTAAATTATTAATATTTAATTGTTTTATGATTAAACTCCTTTTTTCAATTTTATCGGTTCAGATGTGTTGTTAGATTTTCTTTGATTTTATTATGAATGTAAAAAAATAAACACACTGAAAAGTTTACTACAAAATTTAAGTGAAACAACAGAACAAGTTCTGGTGTAATTTTCTCTTCCATTTTCTTTCAATTAAATGTTCCTAGTGCAAAAAATACGTTGGAATTATTGCTGATCAAATATGATCCCAGATTGTTTTGTGAGCTGGCTGACAATGCTCTAACAACGCCGTGAAAGTGCATTGTGATCGCCAACGGACGCTGTAGAAACGCCATGGGAGCGCAATGATCGCAGTGACAACTCCGTGCTGTTGCCGTGTAATCGCAGTCGAAAAAATCACAAGACGATAAGTCTCATTAGAAGCGCCGTAAAAACGCGATAGAAACGCAGTGACATCTCCAAGGACTCCGCGACATCTCCGTGAGGTCTCCGTGGAAGCGCAGTCTACTATCACTGCGTTCGTGCCGCGATCATGTGCCTCTTCACGGCGTTCGTATGGAGCTCCCACTACGTTGTTGGAGATCTCACCGCGCTGCTACGGCGATCATACTACGTTTCTACTGCGTTCTTATCAGACCGCGATCACACAGCGCGTACTTTGTGCATGCCCAAAGTGATCGCCGTCCCCCGGCGTTCTAGGAGACCCTTCGCGACCCTACGGCGTTCAGTCGAGATCTCGCCGCGTTGTCACGGCGCTGTAGGAGACCCTACTGCGATCACCTCGGCCGTGTAGTCGCCGTGAGGACGCAGCCCCGGTGTGACAGGGGTTTAAAAGACAGCACTTCATTAATCTGTAACCTAAGTAACCTTAGCTGTTAGCTAATACAGCCTCTCATTTGATCGCATTTTGCGTGACATATCTCACATCAATGCGTCTTTGTTGATTGTTCTATTTTTTAGCTCTACTGATCAGAGACCAGAAGAGCTTATGCGATAGTAATGCGTCCGGCGTCCGTCCGTCTGTCTATCTGTAAACAATTTTTCAAAATGCTATTCCTCCTACAGTTTTGGTCTGATTTCAATATAACACTAAGATACATAATACTGTGTCTCAGATTTTGATTTTAATGAACGGTGTTGCGTGGTTACTAAAAATAGAAATTTCTGTAAACTACTTTTAAAATGCTACTCCTCCTACAGGTCTGATTTCAGTATAACTTGGCACACAAGCAGACTACACTAAGACACATAATTTTGTATCGATATTTGATTTGGATGAACGGTGTTGCCGTGGTTACTAAAAATAGAAATTTCTGTGGAAAATTTTCAAAATGCTACTTCAAATACAGTTTTAGTCTGATTATAATATAATTGCAGTCTTGCCACAAAAAGAAACTTAATCAAGGATCATTATTCTATTTATTGCTTTTGTAAAGTTTTATGTCACAACTGCTACTTTTCGCTTCCTTTATTACAAGTACAGACCAGTAGAGCTACAGTCTCAACAGAGACTTCTGGTCAAAAATGCTACTCCTCCTTCAGTTTTTGTCTGATTTCAGTATTACTTGGCACACAAGTAGACTACACTAAGATACATAATTCTGTGAATGGGTTTTTTTGATTTCGATGAACGGTGTTGCCGTGGTTACTAAAAATACAAATTTCTGTAAAATACATTCAAAATGCTACTCCTACAGTTTTTTGTCATATTTCAATATAACTAGGCACACAAGTAGAAAACACAAAGATACATAATTCTGTTTATCGAATTTTGATTTCGATGAACGGTGTTGCCGTGGTTAATTAAAATAGAAATTTCTGTGAAATACTTTCAAAATACTACTCCTCCTACAGTTTTGGTCATATTTCAATATAACTTGGCACACAAGTAGACAACATTAAGATACAAAATTCTGTATTTCGGTTTTTGATTTGAGGAATGGTGTTGCTGTGGTTACTAAAAATAGAAATTTCTGTAAAATACTTTCAAAATGCTACTGCACCTACAGTTTTAATCTGATTTCAATACAACTTATCTAATATAATATAAAAGCTTCTCCTACAGTTGTAGTCTTAATGCAATCTTGCCACAAAAAAAGTCGAAATCAAGGATCGTTATTCTATTTATTGCTGTTCAATTCAGTGGTGTAAAGTTTCAAGTTCCAACTGCAACTTTTTGTTTGGTATAAGTACAAACCAGTAGAGCTTCAGTCTCAAGAGGCTTATGGTTTTATTTGTTTTGTCGATGGATTACTCGTCATTACATATTTTTACTGTGGGTGTGACTGGTCTACAGAGGATCTTTACTCCTCTCAGACACATGATCCCACCTCTGGGATTCCAGAGGTCCGTATTTTTGTCCTGTTTATAGACTTGTATGGTCGATAGGTCAGTAGTTTTTTTTCTGCGATCGATCACCGTTTGTTCTATTCCCCTAATTCATTGTCATTAATTTCCTTAACAGTAGGTAACACAAAACCTGATCATTGGCTGTTAATCTCGAACACATTTCCTTGTCTTTAAGTTTTTAATCTCTACGATCGTTCTTTCATTGTAGGTGGAACTTGTATGCAGAATTTTTTATTGATAGAAGAAAATGTCTATAGTACATGTATGTTTATTTTTTGTGGATATCTTTAAATTGATCATTCTAGTGCCAGACAAATCAAAATTTTTTAAATTACATCGTGACAGTAATTCACAATTTTGACCAAATTTTGCCGTAAAAGCTCTGATTATTTCATTATTCTACAATAATGACATTGAAACTATAAATAGCTCATGGAAATGAGCACTGGATAATAACGTTGGTCGAAAATAAACCAATTAATTAAAATTTTCTGACAGTATATATTTGACCGTTGAAACGGGCTGCTGCTTTGTTGCCCGGGGCATACTGAATATATTACACAGTGTGTGCACATGCACGTGCTTCTTCAGCGCTCGCCGGATTAATTAACTCCTGGAACTTTGAAAATCCTATCACGGCGTAGAAAATTAGGATATTTTACTTTTCTTTAACAGATTTTCATCGGTAAGTTTTATTTTTTTTTTATACTTTGCTCTTAAAAATTAGTTATTGAAAGATACAAACTTTTTGAATGATATGATTTACTTTTTCAACTCGGCGTATGAAATCATAATTAAATTAGACTTTCTTTTTAATGAAAATTTTCCATATTCTAACGCACTCGCTTTGCTACTTTCTATTCTATATTTTTCCCCTTAACTTTAAATTTAATTTACACCTAGAGGGTTAACTGAAACACGGTTCAATATTTAAAGAAAAAAATATATACACATGTATAAAAATTAAAACAGTCTGCTGATGCATTAAAATTAATGTCTGACAAGAAAAATGAAATAAAGATTTAATAGAAAGTTGTTAAATAATGCGAGACTATTAATATATGTATCTGTATATACACGTATATGTATAACTGTGTCGATTTGATACGAATTTGTTCCCTGTAACTGACAGAGAAGCAGGTAAATTTATTACCTGACTTCACATGTAGCTACCTTTGATCTCATTACTCGTTATATTCAGGCCTCGAAAACTTAAAACTTTTACGAGTTGCTTTATTAATTAAAAAAAAACACATACGTTTGTCCACTTTTATATTTCCTTACTTTATGCGTGATAATTAACATTTTTTTAAAAATCTAATTTACTTTTCATGCTTTTCTATAATGATGAGAAAAAATTCATAAATTATGTGGCCAGACTAAATCATTTGGTCCCTTTGCCTTGTCGGTACAATTTCATAGAAGCACGGTCTCGCCTCTCATTAAATTTGCATTTATTGCTGTATAATATATAAAAGCATATCTTATATTGAAAATGCATTTCAGGCAGGGGGAACTAAAATTAACAGTTTTAATATTCATCTGTTCGCATTCGTATTTTTTGCACATTGTCATTTATTTTTAGAAAAAAATGAATGTTGATTGTAGCGATGCTGTATATATTACAGAGTTTCCGTTTTTGACAGTGAATGTCCCAGCTTTGAAGGTCAAGGCGTACCTGTGAAATCAAACCCAAACGCCCTAATGCCTTATTTATCACTCTTAGAGCTGAAAGAGGAAAGATCTTCAATCATTTTTTTTCCAAGAGACAAACTAAATACAGTTCTGCGCTCATTCCCCCACTACGGTTAAATTGTTGCATAATTCAGTTTGCAATTTCTACACTGACAGTGTCATTTGTTTTGAATGCACTCATGAAATTTAAATTAAAGTACATTGTCCCGACTCCACCTTGTGATAAATGGACAATAAAACCTCTTTTGTTTTTCGGAGAATGATAAAGCACCATTATTGTTGTTTACTGATGTCCTGTTCTCTGTCCTTAGTTCAGACAGAACTCGGAATTTTTCATGTGGATATACCTCTTTTATCTCCCAGAATCATATTTGTCAAAATTCTTGACATAGACATTTGTAGACATTCTGTTTATTCGGCTCGCATAAGGAAAAGAATTCGTTTCACTTGGAATTTATGATAACGAAATCAATTGTCAGTTATTTAAATGATAATTAAGACTATATCGTATGGGTTTGAAAAAGTACGCCTTAATAAGATTTTATAATTCAACAGATAGCACACAAAAAATCTACTTCTGATCATTAATTTTCCCGGTTTTGACCTTACCTAATAAATAATTAGCCTCAAAGTGGCACACAGTGATCTGTTGATTGATTGGTTTTCAAAAACGATACACATTTTTTGGTACACTGCATTTCCTTGAAAGACTCGCATCTTATAAATACAACTGTACAGCATAATTTTATAAAAGAATATTAAAATTCAAGTCAAGTTGTAAATGAATTTTCTGATCATTATAGGGCCGTTTCACAATTGTGACATCAATGATTTTTAAGTACCATTGTACCAAAGCAGCAAAAGACTACGTTTAAAGACTTAAAGCTTTGCGTACCACAAAGTTTAACATTCGGATATTCAAAATCTGTTTTGAAATATTTCTTTACGTTTTTTATCAGTCTTATTACTGTGGAATAAAAATTAACCTAAACACTGAACAGTCAACAAGTCCCGAGATATATATGTAGGTATATATTATTAGTGATCAAGGTAACAAACAGCGATAGATCTCATAAATACTTAAAATAATACAATTCTGTGAACAGGGCATAAACTCGGATCCACAGAAAGTCCAGGTGTTGTGGGTGTTCACGAGAAGTAAATATCACCTGTCGACAGACACCGGTCACACCGCCTGTGTATTTATCAAGTTGTCGGAACATTTCGTAGTCAAAATCATAGCAAAAGCAAAAGCCAATCAATTGATCTGAAACAAGCCCGTGTGCGTGCTTAAAATACAACCCTGTGATGCTATATTTTGCTAACAAGGTCGTTATAACGACCATAGAATTGACGAAATGCTGACATTAAACGTGATAGTTGAACCCTTGTTGCAACAACTTATGTGCGAGTAGCCTGCCTTGGTTACAAAAATGTTCATAAACGGAGCAATTTCTTGAGTAGCGATAAGTTGGGATATAATCACCATATTCAGGTGAAAATGGAATATTACTACAGTAACTGTAATAAGGAAAGTTAACGATGAAAAAGCTCTAATCATCTTGGTGGCTTTTGATATCTATAGTTACTGTAGTAAAATATTAGATTAAGATACAGGCGCCACGAGATATACGTACTATTCACAGGCACTTGTTTCGGGAATAAACTTTAACCCATAGTATAATAATAGCACAAGGTATCTAACTCCAAATTACACGGAGTACCCCCCTCCCTTAGAATCGCGCTCATTTACACATTCAGAGAAAAGGCAGTGGCAAACTGTTTATACCTATGTCATCTACGATAATTTATCTACACAACTATATATGGCTTGCTTGTCTTTGTTTTCTTTAATCTCCGTAAACAGCGTCAAAACTCTACTCGCCGAGTAGAAAAGTCGAACTAAACCATAAAACGGTATGTGCTAATCTCGGGCAAAGAGAAAAATTAAAGAATGCGTGGGTTTAAAAATTCAATTCCAGATTTTAAATATTGCATTGAATAAATAAAATTTCATAGTGTCTTATTTTCCATAAAAACACTGCGATGTTTTTCCGATGTAATTTTAGAAACAGATTTTTAGCCAATCACATTCGAGGTCTAATTCTTTGCTCGAGACTAGAACATACCATTCTATGGTTGAGTTTCACTTTCCACTCGGCGAGCAGAGTTTTGAAGCTGATTACGGAGATAAAAGAAAATAAAGACAAGCATGTCAGATATGGTTGTGTAGATAATTTATCGGAGAAGACATAGGTATAAACAGTTTACCCGTGCATTTCCTCTGAAAGTGTAAATGAGCGCGATTCTAAGGGAGGGGGGTACTCGGTGTAAATCGGAGTTAGATACCTTGTGTTATTATTATACTATGGGTCAAAGATTTATTACAGAAACAAGTGCCTGTGGTACTATTATGTAGTTCTTTCGTTAAGTGTTAAATTGATAAATACACCGTAGTTTTGTTTCACTTCAAAAGGCACGGTGCACTTCTTTTATTGCAAACTCGCGTAGACCATATGATTTCGGATTTTAATTAAGGTTTCAGGTTTAAGTAGAGTAAATGTGTACATTATATGAAACTAAATTTTTGCGAGGCAAGTTGCGAGACACAAATTTGCTAATCGTCATGTTTTTTTTGAATACAGACAATTCACAAAAAATCCTCATATTTCATATTAAATAAGCGAAACAGTAGGTTTTAAGCATATTGATGGACTTTAGAATTACAAAATATTTTCTATTTTAATGTATTCTAATGTTACAACCATATAGAAAATATAAGTCATGTAAAATGTTCTCATTTTTCTTCTCTACGGGCTCAATATATGAATAGCACCACAGGCGTATAATTTGCATACTTTTGAATTTCAATGCATTCTTGTTCTATGCAAATTACTCCTCTGTTGTCTGTTTGAATGTTTGAAGCAGCAAAAACTGTAGGTCAAAGAATTTTTGCCAATTTTACCACACATGATGTTTACCAAGAATATATGAAATTTAAGTAATATAACTTACTATGAAATTAATGTAATATAACTAACTAGGGTAAATTAATTAAATAAATTCAGAGAGATTATGAAATCTTCCTTCTATTCTGTCAAATTTTAAATGAAAATAATATACCTACTGATCTGAGGTAAATGATCCTCTTTAACGTCTAAGAACGGTCCAGTCTTCAGTGAGTGTCCTCGATATGTTTTCCCTTAATCCTTAAAGAATTATATCTGAAATCTTGTATTGCAAATTTTGACTTGCCCGCATCATGACAACGAGCACACGGCGGGTGTGAACGGTCGGCAGGGGGTGCTTCCTCCTCTATTGCACCTGATCCAACTTTTGATGATTTTAGAGGTCCTTGTATGCTCTGCTCCTGATTTGAATTGTGAGCTCCATTACTGTTCGATGTCCTAATTTTACGGCAGTAGTTTTTTTTAAAACAATGGCTATATAGTTTGGGGTATAAGCGCCAAGGTCATGATGTGAAAAAGGTGCATGTATAAGGCATGTCACCAACATTTCTAAACTGGTTGTATACGCTTTGCTTTAGAATATTTATTGAAATCCTGGTTCAAGTCTTCGACCTAAAATAAGTGCTTACTTCATTATATATTTGTTTATATAATGGAAGTGAAAATGAAGAATTAAAAGCCAGAACTGAGCAAAGTGTATCAAAAACAGACTGCACATGAAGGAACGTATGTGTGGCAACACGATGTTTACCTCAAAAAGAGGTTATATAATGTTTTGTAAAAAGAAAACAAAAAAAAAAATACGATAAATTTTCAATTATAGAGATGAGTAAATAAAATGCAAGACCTTGTAATACCTATAGAGAAAGAAGATGAATACTACTCTGTATTTATCTTTCTTCTTTAAACTGATTATAAACTAAAAATGATTTAAAAGTACTCTATTAAGTATAAAAGTATTCTATTTAAAAACTATTAAGCAACAATATTGTAAAAGACGTGTAATCTGGCAAAGATATTT